TTGAAATTGAAACTAGAAACTTCAAAATGAGAATTGGCTTATTGATTAATTCATTGTTCATCAGCGTTCTGGATCAGAATCCTGATGTTGAAGCAAGGATTTGTTCAACCGTTCATTGCACATAACTATATAAGTGAGACTAGAGGCACGCTTGACACACCAACCAGCGTTTGTATCGCCAACTGGCTGCAACTCTCTGCATCCTCCAGCAGCTTGCTGACATCCATCGCAGCGCCAGCATAGGCAGCTACTTCCCCACAGCTGCCATGCCGCAGCACAACAGGATAGAGCCCCTCCAATTTCACCCTGAGGCTGCCCAATCGCTCCACTGACGCTGCCATGATGGTCATATGGTAAATGCGCGAATCTTGAGATTCTACTTGAAACTTTGAATTTGTCCCAGCTGACCCTAACTCTTGCGATTTTGGGACCAAGGTTCTAATTCCCAATGTGATCTGAAGTTGGAACTTCTGTGTTCTGAAATGAAGTTGATCTCAAGGGTGGCGAATCTGGAGATTGTGCTAGTTTTTAGCTAGTTTCAGAGGGACATAACATAGAGTGCACAATCGAACATGTTCACCTGGTCAGCACAGCTGCTTGGCCACTTGTGAAGGCAAGTCGGGTGCTTATGTTTTTATATAGCCTTATGGCACCCGTCACCCGTAATCCCGCGAAATAATCCACTGGTAACAAGCAATGACTTGTAGTTGCTTTCAACGCTGACACATATATATATATATCTTATCTATACTGCATACCTATACACATGCATATATGCTTTTGTATATATGCTTATAAACATATATGTTTATACATATATGCTTATAAACATATATGCTTACAAACATTTATATATATATACATACATCACATACATATATATATAAACTATATAGAACTACAATAGACATACAAATACATGCAAACATACAATAAATATAACCATATTTGTTTATGGGCATAAAGCAGGTTGGTGGCTTCAACCCATCCAACATCATCCCATTTCTATCGGATGGCAACCGTTCTTTGTTGCCTAAGACCTGCCAAGTTTGATTGATCATTTTTCCCTGGAAATGGTGGTTTCAACACCTACCCCTCTGGAAAAATATGAAAGTCAGCTGGGATGATGACATTCCCAATATGATGGTGTTCCAAACCGCCAACCAGTTCCTGTGTGGTGGTTGATTAATCCCTAGTATATCATCCTAACTTGACATTAACACATCCATGAATTCAGGGCCAAGCCCCTCCCACAACCTCTCAGCCCACCCTCAAAAAACGAAGGGAACCGGCCTTCACGGCGGGCCGGTCGCAACGGCCAAGGAGAAGCGTCATCTCGCGGTGTTCCGCCTGGGGAATTTCATGTCATAAAACATGTTGATGACCTGAGGATGGTTCTTTACATTGGGTGGCTGCCACTTCAAACCGTTTAAGATGAGTTTTAATTGTCTACCAACAACACTCTTGATTTGATGGCATCTTAAGCCACACGGCTATGGATAATCTATGGATATGTGATGATTCATGCAGGCTTTGACCCACAAAAGAGACTTTTTATCTTATAGGAGTGATGATATCAGCTCTCTCAACGCCTTGTCTTTTTTGGGGATGGGTTTGCAACCACAGGAAACCGGCTCAGGCTTCAATCTGGGTTTAAGTATCTGATGCTATGCAAAACAAATAATATAGGCGATCACCCAGTACATGTATGGAATATCTAGCCACAACTGCAGATTGTCGCGCATTTGGTTGGTTAATTATATATTATATGGGTATGGGCTAAAATCAATCAAAACCATGGTACTGTGTTTCTTCATCATGGCAAAACAGAGTATATAAATTAAATAGATGTAAATAGTGACATTGCCCAGAAAAATGGACAATGAACCCCCCAGATTTCACGAAGCTGATTTGGGTTGTTCCGCAAACCGCTGACCTTTACCCCAAAGTAGTTTCGAAATGTTTCGAATGTGTTTAGTTGTCACGTTGAATGATTTATAGAACCCATAGTCAATCTTCTATATTCTGCAAAGGCCACAAACACAAGTCGCGTTTGAGCTGGGTATCAAGTTATCAATCCATTTTTGGTCACGAAATAAACTGTTTTCACCTCCCCATTCAACTAGTTTTACCTAGATACATTAGCCAAATTCCCATGTCATGTTGCTTTCAAACTGAATTTGCGTGGATAACCCACCAATGATGTCACTGAAATATAGTGACTCACTTAACTGCAAATAGCTGTTATCATGCGGCCACTTAAGGATGATGCGTTGAATTCTACAGCATCATTGCATCATTCCATCATTCCATCATTCCGTCATTCCATCATTCCATCATTCCATCATTCTGTCACGACGTGAGATTACAACTACTTCATCCAGATCAAATCACCATTTTTGTTGGCTATATAAACATGATAACTACTCATCTTTGTCGGTGGTATCCATAGTGTTCAGCAAGGTTTCCGAATTTCCCCAGAACCCGCACGGCGGCGCCTCAAGCGTTGGCAGATCATCTGCCGTCGTCATGGCCGGCTGTGTCGCTTGGTGGAGCTTTGACCAACCCCGGGTTTTGCCCAATAGAACAGATGTGTTTAGGGCTGGTGAGTAACACTGATAAATTTCAATGAATCATACATAAATCATAAAAAAAAACATGGTGCCAACTTGCAGGATTCGACATTTTTTTGGGGGTGTCACAACTCATAGTTTGGATGAACAATGAAAAGTTCATTGCCTATGTTTCTTGGTGCAGTATATAAGTATATATATATACATATATATATATATAGTATGATAATGTATGATAGGGTTTTTCAACCGTCTTTCCTGCCAGTACAAACAAAACATAACCTCATCTTTTTCAAGAGATACCGCGCCATGTCAAGCTGTGCCATGTAATCCAGGAGCAAGAGCATAGGCTCTGCTTGAGATTTGGAAGCCAGGTATCTGAAGGAAGATAAATGAGACTCGGACAAGCCCAATAAAGTTGGCTAATAATACTATAACTCTAATATCAAGTACTGTCAGTTGTGTTCTGAGACTTGAACAAAAAACATGAAAGGACATGAAAGGACATAGTGAAACCGAGCGTCATCGAGCCAACAGGAAAGGCACAGTTGGTTGATTTGGCGTGCCTGAGATCATCATCATGAAGCTGATTTCCCTGAAACAACAAACCAGAAACCTGGTGTTCTTCTTCCACGTGGAAACCACGTGGAAAAATCATCATTGGTGAGGTCATGAGGTGGCGCCGTAACTGGGTGTCCGGACCTTTACTGGATAAGTGGCTTACAAACAACATGAATGTTTGCATTCTGAGATAATATACGTACACATATGACATATGTATCACAATGTATGAAAAAAGCCATTTGTGTATATCCTTGCCAATCCCAATAGTAAGAGATTCCAGTGGGAAGCAAACACATATCAAAAGAAGAACACCCACTATTTTGTGCCGGAGCGAGTGGTACACGCGTGGAAACACCGCCATAGCAGCTGATGTCCAATTCCAAGAATTTAGGACGTGCAATCCTCCCATGTTCCGTGGAAATCTGCTTTTACAATTCAAATCATTTCAAATCCAAAGCCGTCATGCACTGCCAATGCGCCAAACGGTGTGAAACGGTGAGACAAACAACGCGCATTCGTCGCGGCGTCGGACGAATGCGCCCATCTAGCTGCTGTGAACAGCTTTCCAGGTCATCTAAGTTGGTTGATGTGGGTTTGTCGCCTCAAAATGCCTCAAATGTTCAACGGTATCGGTGTCAAAGTTTCTTTGGCCCGCAAACCCCAAATGGACCGTAGTGACCGTAGTCATATGCTCCATGTATGTAATATTTACCAACATTTGCCCTAAAAATCACCCAGTCATGTAGGTAAATAATGGTAAATATACCATACATGGAGCATTTGGATGCATTTGGGTTGTAAGGACTTGAACCATGCCCATTTTGGAGTAACACGACTTGGGGACAAATGTCTTCACCTTTCGGCCCTAGGGCAGGGCATCGTCCCCCAGGATGAATGAAAGGGATCCTGGCCGGTGAATCAAACGTGGCAATGGAAAATCCGGTGGAAACTCCCGCATCAATGGAGGTTCAAAAGGGAAAATCATATAGAACTGCTGGATTTTCCATCGCTATGTTTGATTACCGGAGGCTAGTTGCAAAGATCATTCACCTGAATCTTCATCTCAACGCAACAAAAATCCAAGGAAAGCCATACCCCACTTCTTCCGTGTTTCAACTTTGAGATGGACCTGACCAAGTTCGATAAAACGGCGCGAGCTGCTCCAGGTCCAAGGTAGGAGGATGTTGACATGTTTTCGCCGTGGACATGGGGGTTTCCATCAATGGGATACCCCAAAATGATAAAATGGATGGTCTATGGGAAAAAGCCATTGAAATGGATGATTTGGGGGTCCTCGCATTTATGGAAACCCTCACATGTGAGTTACGGAAAATGTAACCACTGCACTTCATCGACGAATCAGTGGGAAAGGATGCAATCCAGATATTCATATCTTGCAACAGATCTCAAACTTAAGACTTAAGACCCTTTTGGGAGGGTTTCCCTTATCATCAGATCAGGTTCATACTTGATCTGCTTGATGGAAGGGAGGGTTAACATGACATACATATGTCAAACGTTGTTGAAGCAAGTCACAACAACCTTGCTCACTCGGATTTCTTCAGACAAATCACATGTTAAGTCATTTGTTATCCTCGAGCTTTAGAGGCATGTTGCATCATGGTTGCTTCCAGCACATTGAACATGACTATCTACATTGAATCTACATCAATAGAATAATCCCACTATAATCCCATGATAATTATCATAAATTATCATTATCAATAGTCCCACTGTAATCCCACTATGACATAATAGAATCATCCCCCTATTATCATCCCATTTGACACCTTTTCATCCATCCAGTTGTGACCATTAAAACAGCTTTGCTCTTGCGCCGTAAACGCGACCTACTGCCTTGCATCAGACTTCTCCTTTCAGAAAGAAGATCCAAGGCGTTGACACCTGAAAAAACGGCTCCGCCAGTGATGTGAATCTTGGTTGAAAAAAACCCATGAACATATCCATTAACTATCATTAACTATACTTATATCATGTTATATCATATACCATGGATATAGTTGAGTTGAATACTATAGTTTAATATCTACCATCAACCATGGAATTCAGCCACTTTTTTTAGGTAACTGAACGCTTTCGAACGGGGGCCCCATCCTGTAGGAATGTGGGGTTAAGAAACAAGAAACTGGGATCAACTGCTGTTAACTGCTGACATCTGCCGATATGAGATGTGAGTATGAATCAAAATTAAACGCTGAAAAGGACTGCAATACTCGACATGTTCAGAGGGAGACCTCTAATTTTTGTTTGCCATTGTTGGTATCCAATACACTCCAAGGAACAACAGTAAGTATCTATTTCATTCATGGATATCATATATGTTCTCCATTGATAGGTTGAATCATGAACTCGTTCACCAACCATAACCATGCACCAGGATTTTTTTGCCCGTCTCCATATGTGATGTTAATCCAAGATTAATAAAAACCAACAGATTACTAATAGTAGGGGGTTGCCGGTTTAACACCCAAAAAAAATAGAAAAATATCGTTCTATCAGTTCTATCAGTACAAACGCCATATATCATATTAAATCAGAACTTTTAAATTCTATAACATATATATGGTTATATATACATGTTAAAAGTTCTGATTTATGGTATCAAGCAAATGCTCAATAACATTCTATAACCTGAATCGAATCTGGCCAACCATTTTTCAGCATTTTTCAAAAAAAAAAACGCGCCTTGTCACAGGAGATGATGAGCCGTCCACCCTGCGACCTGTTAGTTGGGAGTCGCGTCGTTTAGGACAAAGAACCAGCAACAAAGTGAGTGATTTCAGTTTAACACATGGTGATACAAACAACAAATTAAGCTTGGAAGATGGTGTGAAACACCATGTTTCAACCATGCAACCCATGGTGCTGGAATATGCACACCAACATTTGCCCGAAGAAAATCACCCAGTCATGTAGGTAAATATACCAGCACCATCTTGGATTTGCTTAAGGGGTCCCCCTTTTTTTTTAAATATACACAACAGAGATTCCCCAGTCATGGTGGATTAGCCATTGGGAAAACATGCCAAATCACCGACTAAACAAACCCAGCACCATGGGTTGCATATGGTGATTTCAACTTACCCTCTGGTAAACTAACATGACTATGGAAAATCACAATTTTTAAGTTCGGTAAATCAACTATATTTCCATGGGCCATGGCTTCAAACTTTATGTAAACGTTTACCAGAGAGTACCGTTGCTACCCTCTGGTAATTTAACATAACTATGGAAAATCAAGATTTATAATGAATTTTCCCATGAAAAATGGTGATATCATGGTGATATTCCATAGTTATGTTAAATTACCAGGGGGTAAACTTCCATTTTCCTACGGTTTTTCTATGGTTTTCCCATTAAAACCTCCATTTTCCTATGGTTTTCCTATGGTTTTCCTATGGTTTTCCTATTGCTATCCACGGTGAACGCCACCGTCTGCCCGCTCCGTACCGTCGTCGGGTACTGCGACCTGTCGGATTTGAAGTTCACGTTGATCTGAACCGACTTCTGGGGGTCGATCCTGGTGGAATTTTTGGCCAGGACATGTTGAATGAAGCATGAAAACATGATGGATAAACTAAATATAGGTAATATATCCACTAGAATAACCATTTATAGGTTATAGTTAATTACTGGTTGGTGGTATACCTACCCCTCTGAAAAATATTAGTCAGTTGGGATGATTATTCCCAATATATGGAAAAAAAAGGGCGAAGATTTTTTTTAGGTTTTTTTTTGTTTTTTTTAAGGATTTTTTTTGTTTTTTGGTTTCCTATTAGTTTTCTTCCATTTTCCATTAGTTTTCCTTCATTTTTTAATAGTTTTCCTTTATTTTCTATTAGTTTTCCTTCATTTTCTACTAGTTTGCATTCATTTTCTATTAGTTTCCCTTCATTTTCCATCACGTTTCCTTCATTTTCCAATAGTTGTTCCATTAGTTTTCTATTGGTTTTCTTTCATGTTCCATTTTCCATTAGTTTTCCTTCATTTTCTATCAGTTTTTCTTTATTTTCCAATTGGTTTCTTTCATTTTCCGTTAGTGTTCCTTCATTTTCCCTTAGTTTTCCTTCATTTTCCATTAGATATCTGCATAAAAGCCAAAACGGCCAAGGCCAAAAACCAAGTGAAACCAAAGCCAAAAGCCAAAAGCCAAGCGAAGCCACAACCACCAGAAGCCAATACACACCAGATCCAACAAGTGTCCTGAAACAAGGGTTTTCAATGATGGAAAAGGGCTAGTCCGGACACTTGTTGAAAAGAGTTTTAGTTCCTCTCGCACAAGCATGCATAGAAACCCACGAGTAAACGTCTGAGTTTCTTGCAACAATTGCTCAACCCAAATGACATGAATATAGTTGGAGTCCAGATTCAACAAGTGTCCTGACATGCGTTTTTTTTCCCTAAAAGGGCTAGTTAGGACACTTATTAATGGGTGCGCATTTTTTTGTGGATTTTTTATTTTTTTGTTTGTTTTTTTTTTGGTCGTCCAGGCTCCCTTCCTTGGTTTTTGCAACTAAAATCACTCATTTGCTGCATTTTGTAGCTAAAATTTCTCATTCGCACTGTTCATCAATTTTTCGACTGGTTTCAGTTTTTTTTTCAATGGTTTCTATCGAGTTTTCTTCAATTGTTCCATGGTTTTCTTCAATTTTTCTATGGTTTTCTTCAATTGTTCTATGGTTTCTTCGATATTCCATGGTGTTCTTCCATTTTTCAATGGTTTTCTTCATTTTTTCTATGTTTTTCTTCAATTTGTGCATGGTGTTCATTCAGTTTTCACTTGTTTTCATTTCTGGTTCCAGAGTTGTTCATTGATTTTTACATGGTTTTCATTGTTTTTTATTGAAGTTTTCATTTATTTTTGGAAATACACGATGTGCAAACTACAAATTGTAGATGTAGAAAGGTATATATGCATGACTAATCATGACTATATGTATATGTAGATCAGTGCGTTTACACGTGTATTTAATATATATATATATATGCAGGGTTTGGTTTAGGGTTTATTTAGGGTTGGCTTAATGGTTTCTTCTGGATTTGTTTAGGATCTGTTTAGGGTTGGGTTAGGGGGTATTTAGGGATACAACATGTACATACAAATAGCTATAATTACGTGATTATTTATAGTATATTTTGGGATCAAAGCTGTGTATAAAAACAACCACAAATATGTCATATATATATTATATGTCAGTATATCTAAAAGTAAATATGCATGTGTATTTTTATATATACTTATAGATACATACTTATATATATGTATGTATTTGTAAATATGTATATATATATATAAATTTAAACATAAATGTAAATATACTCGAATGAAACTAGTGCATTGAAAAGTGTGCAAGTTTTGAATTTAAATAATTAAAAAAAGCGGGAGGGGGGGGATTGGGGGGGAGGGCGCAGCGCCTCCCCCCAAAGCAGATTGGAAACACCTATTTTCACATGCAAGGTGCTGGGTTGAATGTGATACTCAAGGCGTATAGACTACACAACATGCACCCTGGAAACATGTGGAATACAGATAAGGCACATGGTTTTCATTGTTTTCCGAAGTTTTCATTTATTTTTGGAAATACACGATGTGCAAACTACAAATTGTAGATGTAAAAAGGTATATGCATGACTAATCATGACTATATGTATATGTAGATCAGTGCGTTTACACGTGTATTTAATATATATATATCTCTATATGCAGGGTTTGGTTTAGGGTTTATTTAGGGTTTACATATATAAGCCAAAAGCCAAAAGCCAGGTGAAGCCAAAGCGAAGAGCCAAGTGAAGCCGAAGCCAAAAGGTCTTATTTTCCTGCGTTCATTTCCCGAAGCATGGAATACGTAGTTCAACTATCATTATGTATCTTTTTTTTTACGTATATTAAGGGAAATAAGAGTCGTATTTCCCTTCTTTCCCGTAACATGGAGTAGTTCAAAACAATATAGCCAAGAGCCAAGTGAAGCTAAAACCAAACACCAAAAGCCAGGTGAAGCCAAAGCCAAAAGCCAAGTGAAGCCAAAAAGCCAAAAGCCAGATTATGTCTTTTCTTGACTTATCGAAGAGATAAGGGGCCACAGAAAGCCAAAAACCAGAAGCCAAGTGAAGCCAAAGCCCAAAGCCAACAGCCAAAGTGAAGCCAAAGCCAAAAGCCATGGCCCAAAAAAGCTAAACGCCAAAAAGCCAAAAGCCAATAACCAAAAGCCAATAACCAAAAGCCAAGAGCCAAAGTGAAGCCAAAAGCTAAAAGCCGAAAAGCAAAGCCAAAAGCCAAAAAGCCAAAATGCCAAAAGCCAAAAGCCAAAAAGCCAAGTGGGCACTTGAAGCCAAAAGCCAAGTGGGCGCGCAAATGAGAGATCCTAGCTCCAAAATGCATGCAAAACACAGATTTTAGCTCCAAAGAGCACCAAATAGCAGGGAAAGCTGCTCCAGACTGAAAAACAAAAAAAAAAATCCTAAAAAAAAACAATAAAAAATCCAAACCACCAACCAGTATGTATATGATATACCCTCTGGCTATTTAACATAGCCATGGGAAATGGCCCATTTATAGAGGTTTAGATATTAAAATTGTGATTTTCCATGGCTATCTTAAATAACAAGATGGTAAATATGATAAAATCTAAAATCATGATGGATACATATTGATGACATTTCTTGATTTACCCGGATTTCCTCTAAATCGTTTACATGTTGATGAATGATGATACATGTGGAAGCAAGAACAGTTTTATACGATGGGATTAAGCATGTTGAAACCATCACCATAGATGTGACATTGACCATCGTGGCCATACCTTTTCCAGGTGACTTAACATGGCTTACTAATGGGCCAAGAAATATGGTCGAAAATCCGTGGCTCGAATTAATACTTGACCCATAATAGTATTCATCCACAATATTCTAGATTCAAGTCTATATAGATATGCCTAGATCATTTGAGCTGGGCTACCACATTTAGAATTGCAGAAATCTAGACACCATCCAAGTATGAAAGGATTAACAACATCTCCGAGGGCCATCTATTTTGGAACATTTCTTCGAAGGTCCTTTAGAGGGTCCCAAGAAAGAACACATCCACAACATTCCAGCAGTGTTTCTCAGAAGACTTGACACTGGCACTGCTATGCTTCCACACATATCCGAATGCATATCATCGCAGATCATAATTCGGGTTTCCTTTAACCAAGTCCCCAAAAATAATCAAGCACCCTATGTAGAATCCTAGAATCTTGAACTCATTGGGATTTTCAGGATCCTAAATTGGAGCTACCTACCATATATAAGGCATTGATGAACACATCCCTTGGGAATGGCTAGAGATCGCATCAGCACTGCTCGCCTCTGCGTTCTCATGGGGACCATGAAGCAGGGATTGTCCACCTGCGCAACCACCCAGGGCTTCGCCGCGACTCGGGGACCTGACTCCATTCATTTGGATTCCAAAGCTGTTTACCTCTGGCAACTTTAGAGTTTGCTATGAAAAATGGATGAACATGGCCTATTCTATTGTTCTGGGAAAGACTTCAAAAGCAAATTCCTTTATAGAATCGATTGGTGATTCCAGGAAATAACCATCAGGTCGCCCGATATTCAGGGCGAAACAATATCTCAATCATACCAGCTTGGGACAAAAGCATAGAAATCTCTGCTTTCAGACTGGAATTCCGCAGATTGAATCAACTTCATTTTTTCACTGGTTGGTGGTTTCAACCCTCTGAAAAATATACAAAAACATTAGTCAATGGGAAGGATTATCCCATATATTATGAAAAAATATTTCACATGTTCCAAACCACCCACCAGATGTATAATGTGTAGTGGATAATGTATAATGGATAATGTATAATGTATAATGGATAATGTATAATGTATATACATATATATCATTATATAATATATCTGTATATGTTCATAATAACTGACATCAGTTTTGTTTCAAAGCAACCAAAAAAATCCACCACCATCCACCACCACCCAGTGCCTGGAGGGAGAAATCCGTGGGTTTATCGAAGGGGTTGCGGAATTCCACCAAGCCCTGCTTTCCGCTGATCATGGTGATCGGACCCTGCCAGGTGGAGATCGCTGGCCGATTTTGTCCATGGCATCTGGTGATTTTTCACGTAGCGAACATCACGACTCATCGAAAAAAAAAAGGGCATGGTCCATAGCTGTGTCAAATAGTCAGAAGGTTTATAGTTTATACGTGATGTTTATGCGGATGAATATGAAATCTTGCAAGCATCTTTCTAATTCTCCATAATTCTCTATATAATTATATATATATACCTATCGAGATAGAGAGATGTGAGAGATGTATGGAAGGATAGACAAATAGACAGAAAGACAAACAGACAGACAAATGTCATCTTTAAGCGGTTTAATATCTGCTGTTTTTGTGATGGTTGGTTGGAAGCAACGACACCCTGAATTGTGGCATCTGCCATTCTGTACCCTCTATAGCAACCCCGAAATAGATAGAAAAAATGGACACCTGGAAATATGACATGAAGTAAATATATGTAAATATCATTGGCAATTATTCTGGACATACGTTTCTACCTTTTTGGGTCATATTATAACATCGAAATTCATCACTGGGTATGGGTGAAATGTGCGTACCTCCTAATGCGATGGTTTGTCACTAAAAATGGACAATGGAACAACGTCTGTGGTAAGCTGGGGCCTAAATGTTGAACATATACTGATACTAGTATCAATTGGATTCAATTGGTAGATATCAGATCTGTTCATCACCAATGTCTGATCGATTGAAGAAATTTATATCAGGCAATATCTGAGATCTCTCCCTATTTTTCTGGATTGTGCCATCATACAAAATCCATGATTGGTCAATTGTCTATTCGTTGAGCACAAGATCTTACATTTGCGTGTCTTGAGAACAAAACCTTACTTAAATTAATTTGAATAAAATGGAACCTACCCTCTGGATCGAAAACCACCAGTTCGCTAGAAGACAATTGTATCGAATTATCCACCTCAACAAATCATTTCATATTGACTTCCCCAGATTTTTTTTATATTATATCAACAGATCACATATCTATCTATCTATCTATCTATCTATCTATCTATCTATCTATCTATCTATCTATCTATCTATCTATCTATCTATCTATCTATCTTATCTATCTATTCTATTCTATTCTATTCTATTCTATTCTATCTATCTATCTATCTAATCTATCTACAATATATATATATATTATCATATTTAATTCCATCTTTTCCCCAGTGTCTTCTTAGATTCTCAGCGGCTACAGCTTATGAGTCCAGAGCCCTGCATCCCGGCGCCTGTGGCTGTGGCGGCTGTGCGAAACCTGTGAGCAAAGCTTTGTACCTTGGCGAGACTGAAGTACCCTGAGGTAAGAATGAATAAACATGGCAAATAATAGTGGTTAATATTAACAGTAATGGTTGTATAATAATGATGGTTAATGATGCATGCTTATATAATAGTAATAATGACATTGACCAAAGGATAATCTGCTCTACTGTTTTCAAAACGATGTGGAGAGCCTATGGAAAAACCTTAGGAATATGATCCACATTGATCTACAAACGGTGCATTATCCACATCTATGTTGGTTTACAGGAGGGACACAACGGAAAGTTGGTAAGTTACATGAACAACCACCGTTAGCCCCGTTAGCTGTACCCCAAACCGCGGAACCAAACATCAATGAAAACACTCCAAAAAATGGAGTACCCCAAAATTCGAGGGTTTTATAATATCATTTTATTTCGTGTATTCTGATTGACAGAAATTCATGTAATTCATGATCATTGGGAGGTCATCTCCCCAAATCATTCAAACACTTCCCTGTGGTCAAATCCCCAATCTCCAAAGCTTCAGGATTCTTGGTTTCAAATATATGGAAAACCATGGTGATATTGGAAAATCATGATTCCATGGTTTTCCATATTTCACAAATGATTCTTGGTTTCATAATGCCAATTTTCAATCATAAAATTCCATGGTTCCAAACCACCAACCAGTGATTCTTGGTTTCACCTGTGGTCATTTTGTGGGATGCTACACTCCACCAATCTCTGCATCTTTTTGTCAGCCTTTTGCACTGCGTATCCCGTGAAAAAGAAGGGATCCTTCAATTCTCCATGTTCAGAAACTTTTCAATATCACATTGCGAATAAAATATCGGTATTTGTGTTGATTGTCCCCAGTCTTTGATATAGTTATTGTAGACATATGTTCATGTTTTTAATGTATAATTTCAAATCTTTTCCCGTACATTTCTCCAAACTAATGACACATATTCCCTATGGATTCCTCAAATGGTGTATTTCCCATGTCAAATCATGGCAAACCATGGTATTACCAAAGGGTGAATGACCATGAAATATCCCATGACGAACCATTCTGAATGACCATGAAATATCCCATGTTTCTATGTAATCCCATTGTTATCTCACATTATCCCAACTTCTGGCTTGTTATCATAATTCACTCGCCTGGTTCTAGCCCCAAGGAAACCAGCCAAAAGCACCAGTGGAAGTGGAAAACTTGCTTTTTGAATAAACTATCCTCAACCCATCTTAATACCACTGGTGTTTATAGTGGTTAATAACAATGGGTGTATAGATGTTGTCATCCTATTTCATCTATGTTTCCGCTATAAACATCCTGGTTGGTGGTTTCAACCCCTCTGAAAAATATGAGTCAGTTGGGATGATTATTCAATTCCCAACTGTTTCTGGAAAGTCATTCAAAATTCCATGGTTCCAGTCACCACCAATCAGATATTAATATTCCATTACCCGAGGGTTAATCACCATTAAATCACCATTAATATCCCTATTAAATCACCATTAATATACAGTACCTATTATAGCTTATTAACCATTAATATCCCTATTAAATCATGGTTTATATCCAATGATTCCCCCCGATCTTAAGGCCAGACCTTGAGCCACCCACTGACGGTGCGCCAGGCGAAACCCAGGTACTCACCACCGCCAGGTCCCGAGATCACCAGCAGCGCACGGCATTCGCCCAGCATCTGACCGTTGACACCGTTGACCCGTTGGGCGTTGGGGCGTTGTAGCAATGGGTGATAGCAATTGGTTATATAACCCATTTAACATTGGTTATTGCCTATTGCAATGGTTATAGCAATTATAGCAATGGTTAAATGGATTATCTGTTATAATTGGTTATATAACCAATCCAGATAACAATTACCCTCTGGTAAATAAAACGTTGGACCCTGAAAATAGCCAATTTTTCATGGAAACTAGTCTTCCAACCCCGATGAATGCCAGGGTCTATGTTGATTTACCAGAGGGTATGTTGTGAGATTTAGCATTCATTCGATCCATATCATTAAAATAGATCGATCAATAGCCATGTGGATAAGTCATGAGTTCGCTGCTGGATGAGCACACGTGGATTTACTGTAATAAAAAAACACAAACGAGGATTGGACTGTAACTACCGTAACTAACTTAAACATTCTGACTTGTGTAAGGATCAATTTCAGCCTCAATTTCATGGGGGTTGCAGGCTGCCGAGCAGAGATTTCACACCTTGCTGGGGATAAGCCTCAACTTACATCATGACATCGGCTCATCCCCCTGGAATCAAACTTCAACATGATCAGGAAACCAGTACATCATAGGATCCATGTATGATATATATGCTAACATTGGGGGTATATTGATGGTAAATGTTACTATATATACCATACATGGATCCTATATGATCCTATGGGGTATAGGACACTAATCTTCCAAACTCATCTCGGAAAGTTTCATGTGAGTATTCAGTACAACTACGGTAACTACATTTAAGCATACGGATTTCAAACTATACGAACAGTGATTTTAGACTACCTCCAAGAAGGCTTTCTTTGGCCCGGCTATTTAGACATACGGAATCCAATTCATTTAAACATACGGCAACTACATTTAAATATACGAACTGGACTTTTATAAACTACCTCCTGGGCCTCGCGGTCTGGCCCGCCCTCCACATATTTAAATGTCGTTACCGTATATCTATTTTGCAGCTGTTGGAGCACAACATGTTCATTTTGTTCGCAGTTTTCTCAGCAATTTGAAGGATGTGGGGGATCTTTTGAGGGCCTACACTTTTAAGGCGGCATACACCTCAAACGTGGGAAACCAAATAAAATCCTCATTCACACTGAAAAGAATTGCCAGAAAGAACTTGGTTTTGAAAGCCACATGATCATCAAGTTCTTGAATTTGCCTAAGAAAAATATCCCCGATTGGGATTCCCCATGTTGGTACATTTCCCTTTGGAAAAGCAAAAATCATATCCTTCAACCAAGCCATCGAGTTTCTGACCAATGAGGTGTTCCTGATCAATCCTTCTGAGGGTAAATGATTCGATGCTTCGATGATTCTATACCGATTCCCGTCCTGGTATTGTGAGAAAATTTTCAATAGAGTAATGATGTATATCCTAAAATTGTTGAGGGGGGGCCCTACACTAATCAGTATCCAACATTAATCATTATCCGTAATACCTTGAGCCTCTGGCAATTCAGCCACTTGTGGCGGTCTTCACAAAGCTGAACCGATCTCCTTTCAGGTTCTCAAAGTGCTCATTCCTTTGCCTCTTTGCGAAGTCAACCAAATCGAAAAAACCATCCTGGGAAATTTTTCCCAATTTTTTGAAGGGTAAACTCAACGCCTTTTTTGGGGGGTTGACATGGTATATCTCCATGCAGCACAGCAACACCCCCCGTCACCCAGATTCACCCAGTCTCCGAGCCCCCAGACGGACGGCTGGAACTTCACCCCGAGCTCCGTCGGCACTGGTTCATTGACACAGCCCGTGGCACTCACCTGGCCGTTTTTGAAAAAACAAATCATCTGGAGATTCCATACATGGGAGTACCTGCAATAGGGATGGTATATACTGGAAACTCCATGAAAATCATATTCAAATGGATGATTTGGGGGTGCCTCTATTTTAGGAAACCCCCATCTGATGTCCAAACGAATGGATTTGTTCATATACAGCTTGGGGTTTTAGTGATCTGAGTGATCTTTAAATGAATAACATCCGAGTCTCAACGTAACTGTAGTTTAAAAATCCAATTAACGAATGCATATCTGAGATCCAGGATCTCAGAATGTGCTTGGAAACTCCCAATCAGATGAGTAGTGTACTGCGCTTACGTTTTCCCCAAAGTATGGATCTGGCCATCATGGCACTGTTTCCAAATGATCACCTTCTGGTGGTTTACAAATGGAACCTGCTCAACTAAACCTACTAGGCGATCATTATTAAATCCAAAACCATCTGTTTTTGCTGCCAATCCAATATTCTAAATGAGGGGAAACCCAGTGTAGTTCAGGTTGATTCTAATCGCAAATCTCATCGCAAATCTAATCGCGTCTTTTTAGACCCTGCAAATTGCGAAGAAAGTGTGGCAGAAAATGGAACGTAAAAAACTCCTACCCTTCACGGCCTAGGCCTAGCCACCTGCAACCTGTTTTCAGCTCGGGTTCGTGGTTTCACCAATACTGATGATTACTGCAATAATGATCATCATTAGAAAATAAAACAAAGTATGCAATATGAATGTATATATGTATATACTTGTATATAATTGTATATAATTATGAATACACAATCCCCATATAATCCCAATGTATTCCCCAGAGAATCAGATACAACTACAACAATCTCCAGAGCTACCGCGCTTTGTCACGGTTCCTTTTCACTGCCGCTCTATCCGGCAAGTCCTGAACCGGGGGGCGCAGCTTCCTCCGGGCAGGCGACCTGGGCGTCAAGGTCAATTGGAGGAACCCAAGCGGTGCCAACCATAAGAGAATCGCATCTCCAATCCTGAAGTAGATTCGAATATTTTTGGTTTACAAAGATGTTCTCAAAAGATGCGGCACCCCTAGGATCCAACGGTTTTAGAGATCATTGGTTCTATGTGTTTCCATGTGTGTCTATTAAAACCCGGTATTTCAGGGTATTCCGCTGGTACAAACTGCAGGGAATCTGCAAGAGCACTGTTCAACATAATTGTGTGAATTGATGTGAATTGGCTACGGTATCGTGCAGTCCAACACAGGTTCTTTTGCTACTGGCGTAAGCGGTATAGCTCAAGGGCCCTATTAATTAGCCGAAACGGCAACAGACATGGTATGTGACAACCTGGCCTTTACATGGAATGTCAAACACCTCAAATTGACACTCAACCTGTTCTACAGGTGTCACATCGCACAATATACAACTATGTCTGTACAGGGCATTACGGAGAAAAAGTGGCGCAGTGGTATTTCTACTACTTCTGTACTTTGTACATGCAAATCTGCCAACACACGGATCATAAAGTCCGCTTTCATGCTCTTCGTGAGACAATCACTGATCATAGTATGGGTAGCTATCCAAGATAGCCTGTCTCCACCGTTTGGGTAGACGTCCTACGTTTTTCGGTCATCATTCCAATAGGCCAATAGGATTCATGTATGCTTTGCAGCTCAATATCTAATCTCTTGTCATTCACTTTTGCGAGGATTTCAGAGGCCAAATGGTCTGAAAGAGAACGGCAATCTGTGAGAGCTAAGTGCGGCACACAACTCCTGGCATCGATCTCCCATGTCCTTCAGGATTTGATCTGACCTTTGATCTCTGCCAAGACTCCCCTGAGCTTGTCTCCTGCTTCAAGACCATGCTGCAGCGAATATGTCTCAGCTTGAAGTGTGCTTCGGCATACACGTCGGATCGTAGTAGAACTGTAAGACAGAGGCATCACCCTGTATGTATTGCAGTTGCTACTCTTGATCTCTGTAAGGTCTCCAAGAACATGACAGCGTCCTTGTTGAGAACGGTAGTTCTGTTCGTTGGAGAAAGAAGCGTCAGTGATCGTGATCAATCCAACCTCATCCCATTTGAGATGTCCGCATGGAAAACGAAGTCTCACCTGGTCACCTTTGTGAGCAAGCTGCACAACTGCATTTGCATCACATAGAGTGCTGACCGTGGCATTCTTGATCGAAGATTGTAGGCGGCTAACTCGGTATGCCAAATCTGGTCTTGTTTGGCGTGCAACCCAAGCTAGTGACCCGGTCACCGACCTAAGTCGTGTGATGTCATCACCTGAAACCTGTTCATTGCCTGACGAACGGCCTGCATCAATTGGGATTGGTTTAATCTTCCTGGTATTGTCGACAGTGTCAACAAAAATGTCTCCGTCACCTGAGCGCGAAAACTGCTTTCCGCAATACCTGAAATCGTTCACCTCGGTGCTGCCGATGTTAAACTTATTCAGAAAACGCTCAATGACTTCCTTACCTTCAGGTAAGTAGCAGCACAGAAGATCGTCAACATGCGTGCGCATTAGCGCACATGCGTCTCCGTCACTCCCCGGAAGGAAGTATAGACCTGGGAAAAACTGCGATGCTTTCATGCCTTCTTTCTTTGCATCTCCGTCCAGTCGCAGCCAAAATCCACGTCCTGAATCGGTAAATCCATAAATTGGCACCCTCACAAGATAGACAACTCCGGCATCAACTCCCGGGATGCCCCCTCGCGGCTGTCGCATGAGGAGCACTCGGTCCAACGGTCGTCCCTGAAAATAGGCTGGTGTTACATCGGCCGAATGCAGGTCAAGTTCATGAGCTGCGCACCAGCAACAGATAAGGTTGTGAACCTCAATGTCCGCTGTTGGGCTGTCTGACCCTAGACACTCACTGCACTCGAAATTACCGCATGATACCAGCCGACTCTTGTATTGAGGCTGATAGTTTGGATCACGATGTCCATCAGCAACAAGTTCCTGGACCTGATCCGGAGTCAGTGGCACAACTGCTCCAAAGCTTTCAAACTTCGACCATTCCTGGGCTCGAGACGCTTGCAACGCTTTCTGAACCTCTGGTGGTGCTGATTCAAAGTGAATGCTTTTCAAGACCTTCTTGCCTTCTTCTATAAGATCGTCCTTCCCTGCCATGGAACATGTGAACATGGCTGTAGATTCTTCAATCTGTTCCACAGTCCACTGTGCGGCCCCATTTCGGGCTCGTTCAAAATGGTTTCTCAGGGATACTGGAAGGTCATCAAGATTGTCATAAGGATTGGGCCAAGCTTGTGGCCGTGCAGCTTGAGCCTGCTGTGGTTGCTCTGTCTCAGCGGGAGGTCTCTCTGCTGAATCGATGGACTCACGTCTGGAGAATGCTAAAGATGATCCTCGCTCGCTCTCAGGCTGAGTCTCGAGACGGGGTCTCACATTTCTATCGGCACGAGGGGTGGCATTTGATCTCCGTCTGTCTTGACTGGAATTTGCTGCCTCGATCAATTCTTCCGTGGCATCGGCTCCATCAGACGTGTCTTCACCATCATTGGAGATTCCGAGCCTGGGTACCCCTACATTATCAAGTTCATCATCTTCGGGTATTGGTGGTAAATTTTCATTACTGTCTCACCAATCTATGAATGGAAGTTCAGTCCCTTCGTCTGCGGCTCTCGGCTCTGGAGTTTCGAGAACGGATGGCTCATATTGATCGCCATGGGACTCTGGAGAAACACGAGCGTCCAAAAAGGATTGTTGTTCACCTCCAATCACAACTTCTTCAGGAATGACAGGCTGTCCATGGAGAGCTGAATGCGCTAATGCTTCACTTAACATTCTGACTGGCTACTAATACTGGAACATTACTGCAAAGTAACCACAAATTTCTCTCTCCCTCATGACCTATCACTCTGCTTGTGGGACTCCATCGTGTACCTCCCCGTTGGTTATCCCTACGGAAAGTCACTAAGTCCCCAACTTCAAAGTCTCTTGGAAAAGGTGATGTGTTTTTGGTCATCGCTCTTTGGACACGTTTGGAACAACCAAGATATACGAATGCTTTCTGGGCTTCTTGTCTGACAAGGTGTTGCAATGCAAAGATGCTCTCAGGATTGTGTTGGGCCTCCAAGGCTCCGAGCTCTGCAAAGTGTTCTTCGGATTACGGACTAGGATCTGAGCGTGGGGCTTTGCCCAAGACCCATTGCGACGGTGAAAAACCCCCCACTCGGGATGCATTGTTCTTCACCATGAGCACTTCTTGCAGGACTGACTCAACCGGTTCTCTGCCAAGAGGTTGAGTCTCTTTTGAAACCTTCCGGAAAAGAGCTTTGGCTATGGCCCCGTGGCGCTCGACACGGCCAAGGTTCTCAGGTGCCTCAAGTGGGCTGTACGTGATGAACCTGTATGCCATGATCATCCATGTATTTTGACAACACCCCTCGGTTATGCAATCCTCGGTCACGCATCAGGTTCACGGGGTGTCCACTCCACGAAAACCAGCGTTTATGCAGGGCTTTCAGACACTCACTAGATGAAGGCTGTCCCTGACCACTCCTGACAACCTCACACAATTGGAATGTCGTTCCAAGATCGACCATGCTCAGAACTCGAAACTTGGAGCCACCTGCATCAACAATCTCAAAAAGCATCAATCCCAAGGCTATGGTTGAATGTGTAATTGTGTGGCAATGCTGTTTTGTGTGTGTGGGTTTCTTTCGGGATGTTTCCTCACATGCTGTCTTTGGCCTCACAGCGATCCTCACCCTGGCTGGGAGTTTCCTCCACTGCCGGCGTCTCTCCACCTCATCTTGTGGAAGTCATGGGATCTCGACTTCATCAATGAGGGTTTCCTCAGAAATCAGTTCCTCAACAGGATTCACCTGGGCTCTATCATTGGAGTCCCAAAGGGCGTCAAGTTGTTGATCATCCTCATGGGTCTCTTCATGCATGTCCCCCACAAAAGCTATCCCCATTTGGTGGTTCAATTCATCTTCCTTGGCCCAACTTCCAATCCAATCTGCAAACTTCCAAGACAGAACA